GATATACATTCTTGTCAGGCAGCGTAACGAAAGATCCAGTTTTGCTTCTGTTTAGCCTTTCACTGAGTTCTTACTGGGACATACAGTGCCGTCAAAGTTTTAACTGCTTTTCTGACATGATTCTTCTGTGTTCTTTATCAGTGTTTTGTTGTGATTTAGCTTTCCTCACAAGTAGTGTATTATTAAACATCCTGGCATCACTGTCTGCCATTGCAGTAGAAGCACTTACACATCCAAGATGTGGAGAGAGACAGAGTGGGGTTTTTTTTTATTGTGGCAGATGGACAGTTCATATAAAAATTCCTGCACAGTCAGGAATATGACTGCAGTCAAAATCCTACTAACCTTTTCCATAATACTGCCTATTGTAAGAAATGAGTATTTGAGAAATCAGTAGGATATTTTATTTTTCATGACACAGATCACTCTGAAGAAAGAAGGCTTGCCTTCTCTTGTTGCAGGTATCAGTAAGCTCTGGTCGTACAGTGAAGGTATTTTGGGGGTTTGGGGTTTTTTTTGTGTTGTAAATGCTTAATCATGACATTAAGCACTGGCTTTTGTGATTCTTTGCAAGTTGCAGATTTAACAATTTTTAATGTCAAATTTAATGTCAAATGAGGCATTTAGCCATGTTATATGTGGAGCCCTGGCTTATTGTGAAATAAACTGTAATGCAGGACTGAGGGTTTATTTCTTCCTGAAGTTTTCCTTCCCTTTTTCTTCCTCTTCCTCTCCCTGCTATCCCCAAAATTTGGAAGACACTAATTCTCAAGTGTCTAGGGAATAAAGTTGAAATATGAAACATGATTATCTAATATGTATAGTTATATTAGTTTAAGGTGAGGAAGTGCATCTGCAGGTGGACCAAAAGTCCAACCAAAAGTTGCTGGCACTGGTGGTAGTCACTAGTAACATTAGTTAGTTATTTAAATCCCACTAGTTAAAGATACTGAAGAACGATCAAGCAGGTAATAGGATCAGTGCTGCTTGGAATCCAGCAAACCATAAAGACAGCATTTCATTTTCATTGTCGCAGGTAATATTGAATAGTTGCTTCTGTGTCTGTTGTGAGAGTGTTTATATTGATACCTTTATATATCTACCTATGTATCACATATAGGTAGATCTGCCAATCTGGTTTATGCCAGATTGATGTGCTTTTTATAATTTTTGCCATGTAAAGTTTGGAAAGCTCGTATTCATCATGGAAATGCTGTCCTGGTATGTGCTATCTTGTATTCACCAGAGTCAGACATTCTAATTTTCATAGTGGTGACGTGCTTTGATCCCTGCAAATAAACTCCAACTAATGATGGCACCGGCATATTGGTTCAGAAATGGCAGTTTTCCAAATTTGACTGTTGCTTATCCCTGTGGTTAGGATATGAAGGGGTTTTGGTACTGTGATGCCCTACAAAAAGAAAAAAATCAAAACAAAAAAACCAACTAGGTAAATTATAATGTAGAATTTTGGTTTTGGCAGTTTTTCTCATGTGGTAGTTTTAGTGTCAAAGACTGAAGGACTCAAAGGGTTTGGTGTAGCAAGATGTTCTGCAACGATTGAATTGAGTTGCATGTTAGATGTGGTAGCTTACTTTCCTCGGAGTAAATGTGGAGGATAGCTTTCCATTGTTACTTGGGTACATCTTGTTTCCACACAAGAAATACGGTATTATGTGAAGGTATTTTGGCAGAGCTTCTTGACAGGTTATGGCTTGTTCACTGTGATTAGCTTAGGATAATTAATACTAATAGGCTCACAAAGAGCAGCTTACTCAGTTTGGGGCTGTTGGAAGGGGGTTTTTGCTGTTTGTTTTTTCCTTCTTTTTAATGTGGCAAAGTAGCATAAATGGGGCACTTTAGTGGTCAGTGTTGTGCAGTGCACTTACAAGCTATATTAAAATAAAGATTAAAAATAATCTCTGTGTGTGCGCGCAAGCGCTTTTCTGGACTGGGGCAGGTTAGTGGAGTTTCAGGGCTGTGAATAGACACAGTCTCTCTGGCCTTTCTACTGCTGCAGCCCCGGTAGATGTGATGTTGCTGGGAGGGACAAGGAGTCCGTAAGGGACTGTGCACACTGCAGTCTCCACCAGAGTCCATCGCTGTGTTTTAGACATTGGAGTGCCTCTCATTTTCCCGGGTATTGCCACTCCCTCTGTGGGCACGAGGGCTCCCCAGGGACTGCATACACGTAGCAGTTCTTCCTCGCTGCAGTCCTTGGCTGGGAGGGGGACCCCAGCAGCGCCCTTCCCTGCTGGAGTGGAGAGGCTGTGTAGGTGGATGTGCACCGTTGCCTCGACTGGAGGGAGCAAAGGAAGAGAGCTGCAGCACGGTTGGCTCAGCCCTTCAGGGAGCTTCAAAATGAGGTTGAAGGCCAGTGTTGCAGATGTTGTGATAGTATTGGCCCAAAGCAGTACTATTCTTAGGGTCGTGTCTGCTTAGAAGTGCACCACTGTGGTGCTGTTATGACCATCAGTAATAAAGAAGTGGCCAGGGATTTTTTTTTTTTTTTTTTTAACCTGGTGAAGTTAAGCATCATCTTTCAGAAATTAAAATAACGTTATGTCTTGCTTTTGTGCCTAATTGCCACAGAAGGTGCTTGTCTTGTCTTAAATGTCAAACATTTTTCTGCTCCATTGGAACTGATTGATGAATTTCTTGGTCACTTGATGAAAGTATACTTTTTAGACAGCTTGATGAAAGTGTATTCAATAATTGATTAACTTGTAGGGATCAAAAGGAGAGCTGACCAAAGATTTTGTAAGGGAGTTTGTTTGTTTGTTTTTGTTATACCCAAAATACATTGGGTATTAATCAGAAGATCATTGTTCTGTTTTGGATCCAGTTAAAGCAATTGCAAGCTCATAGGTAAAGCAAAGTGCTGGTGTGCTAAATACAGATGCAACTTCTATAGTGGCTTTTGTTGATTAGGATTTCTACTGTTTGTTTTTATATGCTCTTTTCAGCTTCTAAATAGCTTCCGAATAGCCTTAGAAATAGTTTATAATAGATGTCTAGCTGTCTTGTTCATTATAGAGTAAGCTTGTTCTTGTGTTCATGTACTTTGCTACTTAGCTTCTAATCACTGCATTGTACCTTACATCTCAGTGGTTCCCAAGTGTATTTTAAATCACTTTCAGATTACTGCAGATTGGTAAATAACTTTATCAACATGTGACATTGAATACTAGAACCAAGCCTAAATCCAGTAACATTCAGCTGGTTGCTGCAGAGAACTTACGGTAAAGAGAATTTGGGAACCCCCTCATTATTTTAATATATATACACTGAATTCTTTCAGGAGAAGTAATGCAGGTACTTGCATCTTTAGCAGTCATGGATTACTGGGGGCTTTAGTACACTAGAAAATATTTCAGCGCAAATTGCAGTTTCAAGGACAGGAGCCAGGGGTTAGGCTTCCTTCTGTCATCTTCCAGTGGACAGTACACATCACTGGGCGACAGTCATTTTTGCTTTAATTTTTCCTTTTCTATGGAAGGGTGAAAAATACTGTGCTTGAGTCTCATATAATCAAGTGTCAGTGGTAGAATGTTGCATAATGGTTTTGATAGCAGCCTTATAGCTAGAATATTTTATAAAAACTGAATTTGCGTCATCGTTCAGTTATGTTTTTGAATTAGGTTTTGAAGGTGGCTTTCTGTGCAAGCACCTGACTTCCTCAGTACTTGTATAGCTCCCATTCTTTTTGACAATGTCTATGTATGTGTCCTTAAGTCTCAAGTGTTCAGTCTTAAAACAGAATCACACGCTCTTTTTTTAGGTTAGTATTGTATACTCGATTAATAAAACAAGTTCTGTTGAATCTTAAATGTCTTTTAGTAAGTCTTCCATCCATATGGTGTATATGCTTCATCTTTAGTTGGGAACTGTCTCCAGGTAAACATAAATTTTAAAAGGTAATTTTTTGTAAATTATTTTATTTTTGTAATTATTTGTAATTACAAACAATGTAAGTATTTGTAATTAATTATTCTTTTTGTAATTATTGTAATCACGATTACATATTCTCAGAACTTCTGAAAACAAACCCAAGGAAATACAGCAAACACTATGTGTTATTTTTTTGCTTTAATGAGATATGCTAACATGGGTCCATCAGGGTCAAAAACCAAATAATGCAAGAATACAAAACCTTGCTTGAAAACTTAGTTACTAAAATAATTGAGCTGTCCCAAATTTTAAAGGGCTTTTAAATGAGAGTTATGCATCATACCTCTGAGAAAAGGGCAGAAACTTCTTGAAAATCTCTGCAGCTGATCTGAGTCCCTATCATCTCTAAAGTAAGATTTTAACTTTGGTCTGTAACCATGTCTTTTCAGTAAACAGCTGATCTGTGTATCCAGAGTGCATGACTGTGCATGCATAATGAAAAAAAGCGGGGGGGGGGAGAACAGGGGAAAAAAAAATAAAAACACTTCATCACAGTAAATTTTCAAGCTGTTTTCCTAAGTAGTGTTCTCACTTGGCGATTTGTTGCAGTGAAGTGATGGAGAGGTACATGTCATGATAGGCTGTTTGCTTGAGGCTGTTTCCTCAGGTTTTGAGCAGCTCTTCCTTAATCAGCTGTCAAGTTGGAGCTAGTAATATCTGTGTAATTGGTGAATTCCAGGAATGTTGCTGAGTCCCCGAGGTAGACTGGTGAAGCAGGTGGATGTGTTAGGCAAAGACTTTTGATAAGTCTGAATAGAAGACTTGTTTTGTTTTAAAAAATATGCAGCAGAAAGCATTTTCATCTTGAGAAGTCTCTTGTAATGGGACATATGTGTGAATGAATGCTCTGTGTGGAATTCTCTCAAAGATCAACTATGTTATTAAAGTACCAATTGCTTCCTACCTGTTCTGGATCCTACAATTAGGAGTGGCAAGGAACTTGGGGGGGCAAAACCAAATGTTGTATTGCTCATTTCCCACTTTGATTTTCAAAATAGGTAATGGAATTAGCTGAAACAAAACCAGTAATTTTACCTTTTTCTTTACAGGTTTGATCTTACTGTTCTATCTCGTATTTTATGGCTTCTTAGCAGCACTCTTCACATTCACAATGTGGGTTATGCTTCAGACACTGAGCAGTGATATACCAAAATATCGTGACCGGATTTCTAGTCCAGGTAACAGTGTATTTATTTTTTCATAAACCTCTGTCTGGTTTAACAGCTAAGTTTCATTTGAGAGTTTGTTGAAGTATAACTGCATATGGAAAACTGTGATTAGTATTCAATTATGGGTTTCGAAGGTAAAACTTGATGTGAGGCAAGTTATATATGTTTATAGCATAAATTGTCAGTAGCTTTCTGTGTGTATGTGCTAACTTTTGCTAGTTTTTCTCTTAGTTCTTTTCAGTTGAATTTGTCATATATGTAGACCGCAATTTAACTTGCACATCCATACAACATGCTGTTGTAGAAGTGGGATTATCATTTAATCAAATTGCTTTAAAGATACTATAAACCATTTCTCTTGGATCAGATGGAAGGCCACCTGGGATTAGTATTTGATGCTTTGAAGAAAGTACAGGAAGGCCGTGCTATGGGGGTAATCCGCTCAAGAGCATGTAAGGACTATGATACGAAGGCATTTCCAGAGTTTTTGTTACAGTGTTAGACAGCTTTCAACTGACATGGAACGTCTGTGGATTTCAGGCATTGTTGACCTATTATGTAGGGATCCACTGAAGACAGAGGGTCCCATTTTATGATGAAGCGAAGTCCACATAACATGGAGCTGCCACTGAAAGTGATGTCTTCCTTCCTGGAGCTACTGCTTCCTTTGTGTACATGCGCATCCAGTCCCACCCCACTGTTCCCTGGTTCAAGGAGCTATATGTGACAGGAAAAAAAAACCCTGCACAAATAAAAATGAATAATAAAGTGGTTGTCTTTTTTTTTTTTTTTCCCCCCTTCCCTCTCCCTTTTTAAAGATTGGTTTAAATATGTCACTAAAATCTGTCATTATAGGCTCTATTTTGGTGTATCTCCATATTGGGGGGAAAAAAATAAGGATTTTCACTGAAAGATTTAAAAGATGCTTCTGCATACTTTTAACTACGCCAAAGAGATTAGTGTTTTCTAGTTACTGTTTCTGGACAGTGTGTAAGTATTTGATTTGTATATGTAACTTAAATGACTGGGCCACCTGAAAATTTGATAAGATATCTCAAATTTTATAATAACTTGGCTTAGGGACCAAATTTATGTTTGAAACACAACAAAACTAAATGGCTATGTGATATGAATATTTTGGTGGCAATTAGACAACATTATTTTTTTAAAACACTTTTTCCTTTTTTGAACTCTAGACTCTTAAAATTAACCAGCGTCTTGCAGCTGCATCAACACTTAAGATGATACAGCAAACTTTGTGTGAGCAAATTGCAGTTGGGCCAGTGTCTCTGTATTCTGAACAGAATTTGTTTTGATGTAATGTTGAGGCCTTCTCTAACAAGTGTCTTCTTCTTAGAAGGGATTCTTGAGGATTTGTGGTGTTTTTTCAAGATAAGAATGTGCTAAAGGCTGAAAGGAATATAAAACCCCACCACCTTCTTAGTTTAAAAAAAAAAAAAAAAAAAGAAAAAGTGGCTTAGTTGACCATTTCTCCACATTTCCTTTGTGGTAGTCAGAATCTTGGTAATGGATGGAGCTGTGGGTAGCTGTGACTTAATACTGGACTTGAGTGACATTTTTTCTATTGTGCCTCTCACAGTTCAGGGTATTAATTTTCCTTTGTTTTGAAATAAGTCATAAAGGATGTTTGTTTAAAAAAAGTACGTATGCTACAATTAGTTTTTAATTTAAGAATTCCTATAGCATCTCTGAATTAATTTTTTTAAATTTACAGTGTCTTTTATTACTCATACATAAGAGTTAGTAAAATTGTTTATTTCTGTTTTAATGTTTCTCTTTAACTCTGTCATTTTTCACTTGCAGTGAAACATGTCATGTTCCTGGCTGTAAAACTCTAAATTAAAAAAAAAATTCTACATACAAAACCTGGATGGCGTAGGTCAAAGGTTTTACTCTTGTATTAAACATACTTGGAAATCTCACAGTTGATTTATTTTATAATTTATATTTGACTTGCATTGTACACTGGGATATAATAGTATCAATCAAATCCAGATGATTTAAAAACCCTTTTTTTAAGTCCCTCTTGGAATTGTAGGGTAATGTAATCTCTGTTACAGTCCTAGATGTGATCCTATGTTGAGGCTGCTAATTCTGATCCACTAGAAGAGCCCAAATCCTGCATTTCTCCCAGTCTATGCATCAGTCCTTCAGATAGCTTTTTCTGTAGAATTGACACCATAGTCTCTGGGCAGGCTGTGATCCACTGGAATTGGAGCAGTCCTTTCCTCTTAGGATGTTTTTGAAGTTCCCCTCAAGCAATAAATCTCTTCAAATTATTGTTTAATTCATTGATGACTAGTTTAGTTACTTTGTCATATTCACTTTGGAAAACAGTATCCAAGTCCTTCATTTACAATATAATTCTATAGATAATAACAATATCTTCTTCCGCAAAACAATTTAGTGTGTAAAACCCCTTCAGTGATTTTTTTCAGCCATGTTACTAATTACCTTGTATTTTGTTGAATCCCAGTTCAGTGTGGAGGCCAGAAGATGACTGTAATGGTGCAAAGTAATTTGCAGTCAAAAATGGTATTTTTAGTTTTATATGGACTGTCAGTCATCAAGGCATTTAATTGTGGCTTCCCTGGAAATAATTTAACTGCTGTAATGCAGAAAGGAGAATTTATTGTTTCCCAATTTAAAGTATTCGTAATAATTTCTGCGTTCAGTTGAGAAGTTTGGTCATTTCTGTAGGCGAATCCTTAATAGACCTGGGCTGCTTAATTGCGCTTCCTATATGCTTTCCAAAAGCTTGCTGTGATTGATTGACTACAGTATGGCATTAAGAATCCAACATTAAGACAACTTACATGACATTATTTTCCCACTGTAATCTTATCTTCTTACATAATTGTTTTCTATACAGAAGCTTTGATTTTATTTTTTAATTTTGGGACATGAGTTTTGTTTCCTGCCTTGAATTTTATTCATTTGGAAATCTAGTTTTAATTGGTTTTGCTAGAGGATAGGAAACTACATGGCATCCTAAGCTGATACAGTTAGTTGCTGCTGTAGTTGCCACTTCTTCCCTTACGCCAAATTTTACATTAATCAAGCCATTTTAATATTCTAACTTAGAAGAAAACTTATCTGATACAAAATGGGTTGGGTGTTGTTTCTTTGTTTGTTTTTCTTTTGTGGAACTGCAATGTCAGTTCTCAGCTATACTTGAAGAGACAGATGCATGGACACTCCTCTGTTAATCACAACTGCAGGGTTTTTGTCCTTTCTGATTATTTATATTAAATAAGAGTTACCTTAAGGTAGTATGAATAAAGCAATCAATCATACACCTTTTCTGAACAGATTTAATCTCTTCTGCAGTATCTGGTGGTGTAGTGCTGTTTCATTCTGCTACTGAAGCTGTGATGAAAAATAGTAGCATTAGGTATCCATGTTAGTGACAACTCCTGATGTTACAGGGCTGTATGTATTAGCAGAGAGTGTGCCTTTTGCTTTCACCTGCTACAAAAAAAATCTCTAAGATTGAATTCTGTACCTTTCTTTACCCACATCCTGGGAAGGACGGTTCACCTCTCTCAAGGGCCCAAACTCCATGTCAGTGTCTGCCTTTTTCATCCTTCAACACAAAGCTGAACTTCAGCGTTCAGTAATCTGTGTCCTTGTTTCTCCTGCCGGTCCTGGCTCCCTGGCTGTAGATTGTTCCTGTTCCAGTACCCTCAGCCAGCAGCTGAATGAAGCCAGCCCTGGGCCCCCACTGCAGCAGCAGGGGGAACCCCGACCGCTGCTAGCAGCCTGGGAGGTAGCTCAAGAGCATTTGTAGTTACCACAGCCTGACTAAGGTCACTCTTTCAAGTGACACGCATGCAGTGGTTTAATAAAGTTTCTTGTATTTTCCATGAAACAGATGACATCTAAACTTTCTGTTTGAGGAGGAAAGGACTAACAACTAACTCGGCTTGTCTGTATTGATTGGGAAATTTCTCAAGCCATCTTTATGCATTATAAAGTTTTTAAAAATACTTTGTTTCTTGTGGGTTTCTATGAGATTAATACAATCATAGCTTCACTCTATATTGCCTAAAGCTTTGAAGCATAGCTTTAACTGGAGGTTTTCTGGGTGTGGTTTGGGGTATTTTTTCAATTATTTTTTAAGTTTAATTTGTTGAATATGGAAAGTGGGAAGTGAATCAGTAAAATTCTTTTATTGAAAGTGATTAAGTTGCTGATTTTGCTATTCCTAATCAGTTGCATTTGGTTTGTGAATTGCGGTTATACATTGGATTGAATTTAAGTATTAATTCATGTAATGTTGATTTTGATAACTTGACTTCAAATACAAACTACCTTCCAGTACTGTGAAGAGGTACTGTGATGGGGTAACATTGACGTTTCTTTACAGATAGGTATTTTCCAATGTATGGATATGATTTTTGAGTAGGTTAGACTGGTGTAGGGCAGAGAAATTGTTTAGTTCTTTACTTGCACTTTTTCTTTTTTAAGGACTTATGATTTCACCAAAGCCAGACACTGCATTGGAATTTTACTTTAACAAGAGTGATGCTCAGTCATATGCAGAATACGTTTCTACACTTAGAAAATTTCTTGAATGTAAGTAAGTTACTTAGCACTGCCCAAGTAATTCAGGAGTCTTAATGTCAAGTACATTAGTTTCCTTTTTTGCTTGTTACCGATTGCTAATGAAAACTGATGCAAGTTCAGGCTTACTCTAGCCATGTGTGTTATTAAAGTATATGCTTTACAGGGAAAGGTAAGTATCAATTCCTACATTGGACAGGGAGCCTGAGGAATAGTGGAGTACGTAACGGAGAGTTTTGGGTCCTAGTCCAGTGCTTTGGTGGCATGATTGTTTCAATACTACAAGATGTACAAGTTACATTATGCCAAAAGAATTCAGTGTAAAATTACATAGGTCATGTATTGGGAGGCAAAGTTTATCAAGATTTAACTGATTGGGCTTTATCTAAATGGCATGGTAACTGAGTGAGAATCCTTTAGTCTTAAGAACTTGAGTGTTTGCTTGTTTAAAAAATGAGACACACAAAGATTAATTTAATTGCAATTTATTAATTTTCTCCCTGATACACAGTATTTACAGGCAGGAATAGTTAAATACTGAATTTAGACCATGGAAAAAAGGTAACGTAGAACAAGACTGAAGGATGGCAAAATCACTAGTTTAAGTCATACGTTATTTTATATATATGCTTGCCTGTACACCATCTAGAAATGCAGAAGTCCATTTAAAATACTACTAAGTTTAACCCCTCAAAAGTTGTAAGTCAGAATTGGATGAGGTGCTGTAAAATCTCACCTGTGTGCATGAGTTGCTTCATTAGCTACACAAGCTATGCTTGAATCTATCTGGATTTGTAGGTTTGGTGCCTGCTAAAAGCTTCTATGAGTAGGCTTTTCTTTCACAGCTCTGCCAAGGGTTCCTGGGAGGAATGCTACATTGCATGATTACTTGCCTCGCCTGCAGTTCAGTGGGTTTTGGACTCTTGCATTGAGGATGAACTTTCATTACCCTTTTTCTATTTTAATTTGCTTATGCTTAGCTGGGTGTGGGGTGTAAAGGAGGGGAACAAAACCATAAAACTTGTTAGATGAGCGTTGGTGACAGCGTGATCTGTGTACTTGTGAAGTGCAAGAAACACAAGAAAGTGAGAAACAGCTTGGAATGTTAGTGTAACATCAGTTATACTACCTGATATAAATGTAGAGACAATTTAGTATTAGTAATTGAAATACTTGAAGTTTTCCTGTGTGTTTGTGAAATGAACATGTCCAAAGGGAAAACTGGTTTGGCTTCCAGGTAAAACCTTGATGGTTTATATTTTAATACATTATTAGTTTAGAATTAGTTTCAGTACAGAAATTAATGGTTATGATTATTGATAAGATTGGAAAAGCAGGACAGCATTATTTCTTTTGTAATACTCCTTTTATTCTTTTCATTTGAGTACAGTGCCACTTCTTTGAAAAAGTGTTTGTTAAGATGGATATAAGAGACATAGTGCTCTGAAAATAGTCCTTTGAGAAAACTCCTAGACAAGTAACAACTATAAATTAGATATTTATATAGGCATCTGCAGCTTTTGGCTACTTGTGTGCTTCATACCGTTGACTTACCAGCTATTTCTGTTTCATAGCATATGATGATTCAAAGCAATCCCAAAACATAAACTGTACACCAGGAAGGATTTTTGATCAGAATGATGTTGCTGTTAAAAAGGCATGTCGATTTAACCTCTCTGAGCTTGGACAATGCTCTGGAAAGGAAGATAAGACCTTTGGCTATTCTAAGGGAACTCCCTGCGTGCTTGTGAAAATGAACAGAGTAAGTGCCTACTTATTTTTTAATTCTTAGTATAAGTGCTCTCAACTACCACAGTATGAAAAATGACTGTAGAAAAGGACTGAAATACGTGTTCAGTTTGCTTCTCAAGGTATTTGCATTTCTGGAATAGTGTAATTTACTGAAATGTCTATTAGACATTAGAAATGTCTAAATGTTCATGTGTTTCAGAGAGTAAAATGAAGTGAGCTTTTTGAGCATCCTAATACTCAAAAGTATTGGCTTTGATTAATTGAGTCAAGATATCTAAAAACCCTGTTTTAAGGAGTACAGTGCTCTTTGGTTTTGCTTACTGTTCTATGTAAGAGATTCTAAAACACCGTGCAGGTAAAGCCTGTTTTACTTCATCTCTGAATTCTAGAAATGTAATTAGAATGTCATACATTCTGTAACTCCTAAACTATGTAAGGCGACGAAAACTTTACTGAGTGGATAAGTATTTGACTTTTCAGTGATGTTATACATTACTTGAACTGCTAAACTGATCTAAGCCATTAATGTTACTTGCTGAATGTAAAATAAGAGAATAGTCCTTTCTGTGGCCACTGTAACTATTTGAACTTTAACTGAAATCTTTAAATCTTAGTCCTAGTCTAAAATTGTGCTTCATATAAAAATGATACTAGATAGATTTGCTTCCTGTGTGAACTCTGTCATATTAAGTGGGGGAAAAGATCAAATTTAGTCTGTAAAGCTGGAAAGGGGAAGAAAGTCTATAAAATTGTTAACCTTCTCTCCTTTAGATAATTGGATTAAAGCCTGAAGGGGAACCACGTATATACTGTACATCTAAGGTCAGTTCTGAATGTAAGAAATAACTGTGTAGTTAATTTTCCTTGTAATTAGGATGAAAAGTGAAGTAATATACTGTGTCAGAACATTTATTTCAATCCCTTTCTTGTTAGACTTTGTACTTTTTCTTTTTCGTGTTTTCATCTTACTGTATGTCTAGTTTGGTTTTTGTGTATTTGATTTCTTTAGTGTACTTATAAAAATACTCTTTTTGTTGTTGTTCTTTCATCTTTAGGTGTATTTGAGCTACCTGACTTGCTTTAGAGTCGAGGAAAATGCATACATGTAATTTGTGGTTATATTTATTTATTGTGAGTTGTGTTTTGTTTTCCCACTTCATAACCTGTATTTTTATTTTTTCTCCATGCTGCAAGTGCACCTTAGACAATTTTATAAATGATGGGTAAGACACAGTGTGGAAACTAATGTTACTGTTCGAGTAAAAGTAGCCTTCAAATCAAGTATAAACTATTTACAATAACGGGTAATGTATGCATAGTTGTTGTGTACCAGTGGATTTACACAGAGTTTTTATGGCAACTATAATAATTACTTTGACTTCTGCATATTTTTCCTAGAATGCTTGGGGAGCAGAGAAAGCCTTGGTAAGTTAGTAGCTTGAGCAAGGGATGGAGTCATGGCTTTTAGCTTGAGGTGGCTGATAAAAATGTAGGCTGGGACATTTCAGCAGTTAATGAGACAAATACTGTAAGTGTTCCTGCCTTCATCCTAGGTACCTGCTGTAGGCATAAATTTTAATACTTGATTTTTTTGTGGAGTCTTTGGAAGTTTTGATCTCCCCATGACAGTCTGTTGCAAGTAAAGGGGATTGCTTCTCTTACTTGAGACTGATTTCTTCGTGTCCATTCTTTAAAAATGTTGTTCTGTTGGAGGAATTATTTGTTTCTTTAGAATAAAGCAATTAAGTTCTTTCTACTTCTATTAGTACTCTTTCTTCTTTGACTTCTCTAGTTTATAATTTTTCATCATGTGGTATCACAAACTTTGTTTGTTGTGAAGTTTGCCACTAGCCACTAGCTGAGGTATTGTTAATGACAGAATTGTTCCCTCTGTCATCATATTGGAAGTAATAATTTCTCTCGAGGTGAATTTGCCATTTGTAATACATTGAGTCTTTTAATCATTTTCCTGCTGGTTATTGGTTACATAACCTACTTGGTTATTTCCCAGTCTATTTGTATATGTGAATTCTTGAAGTTCATAGGTTTGAACTTCATGTTGCTGTTTTTGGCTCTACCCCCTGTAATTTTTCATGATCATTTTAATGGGATTGAGTTCTCTTAAATTTTTTAAACTACTTATGCGTTGGTGCCATCAGTGAATGAACTTTATTTTACATCTCACAAGTCCTTCCTGAGAACACTGAATAGGGTCCAGGACAGTCATTTTAATTTCCACCTGAAATGCTTTGTGATGTGTTGAGAACTAATGTTCCAGTGATTTGTAAATATTTATGGTAAGCCTATTTTATTCAGCTTTCTTCTGTGGATGCTCTGTGAGACAGTGGTAAAAGCTATACTAAGCAAACAACAGACGATGCTTTTTCTTACCCTCTTAGCTGATCTCACTAGCAAAAGAATAAGTCTGATAACAACTTGGTTGATCATGGTTTTGCTATTTTTTTTGAGAAACTTACAAATAAATTGTACTGTATGTTATGTATTTTCTTGTCCTCTTTCTTTAAGTACGAAGTACTGCGTTCTACCCAATCTAGTTAGAATTTCTCTGATCTATGCAAGTGTAGTGTTTTTAAATTTTAAGATTATTAATCGTACTAGTTCTTTACTGACTTGCAGGGAAAGGCTTTGCTACTTCGAGTGCATCTATTTTATCTTAAATTAGCTTATTCTTGCCCTAGCTCATCATGATTTACCTGCTTAGAAAAGCTTAAGTATTGGTTACAATTCATCCTTCTCTGTAGATAACAAAGCAGCAGCATCAACAACTTTCATTTTCTCCTTTTGTCTATGCTTGATTTTTACAGAACTTCTCCTTTTTTCTCTTATGCCCTTTGCTTATTGAAACTCTTACTTTAAGCTTAAAGCATTACGCTGTTCTTTACATGGGCTTTTGAGGCCTTGTTTCCAATTCCATTTTTATTTCTTTGACTCTTTAGGATGTGAGTGCTATGTAATGGTCTCTTCCTCTTTTGTAATGGATAAGGTGAATGTTTACCTGGAAATAATATCTTGTGGCTCTTCTGGATCTTGTTGATGCAAGGATGTGAATTGTGACCCTCTTGTGTGCACACTGGAAAGGTGGAGAAGGATAACCAATAGGCTTTTGCGCATTTTGCAGACAAATTTTTAATTGTGTTGCATCTGCCACTGTATTTGAATGTTTCCTAAATACTGGCTTATAACAGAAGCTGAAGTGTAGTGGCCATTTGTACTTCTCTGTTGCTTCTGTTATTCAGGGTGTTTACCTAGTCTTAAAGTAACTGATATGTTCTGTGGTGATGGTGTTGGTTTTGTGGTTTTTTTCGCCTTCTGTGTTGTGGTCAGTAAACATGGATTAAAAGAATTCAGGGTGTACTGCAAAGTTTAATCTGAGTGGCGTGCATTTCTGAAAATAAACCCCGTGCTGGTATTAGCTTCATAGAACATGTAAGCGTATTTGTGACGTTCATAGCACAAATGCAACTTAATAGTAATCGTAAATCTTTACATCTTTACGTCTTAATCTTTACATCAGAAATCTTTAACGTCTGAGTGACAAAGATGGATTTTGCTTAGAAGTTGATTTAATTGAGCAGAGCAGAAATCCTACTCTCATGTTCTCTTTTTTGTTTGTGGGGTTTTTTTTCCGCCTGTAGATTTGCTGTTTACCAATTTTTCTTTCCCCTTCATCTATATATTTAAATATTTCTTGTTCTTTATAGTTAGAGTTCTACATTTATTGAGAGCAATTTGGAGAAGTGTCTGCCTGGAACTAACACAATCTGACTTTTAAATTGAAAAAAAAAATTTCTTTTTAGTCAAACACAAAATAAGGTTAATAGCTTCTCTCTGCGCATCCTGCCAGTCTTTGCCACCTGAAACGCCATTTAAGTTTTGCACTTTGAAATTTATGTTCTTCAAGCATTCTCCTGTGAGGTGATTGTTCTTTTTTCTCCCTGCACTTTTCCTATGGGATTTTTTAAAAATAGAAAAATACTAGATAGATCTGTGATTTCAAAGTCGGCACACTTGATAGTTGGAGATGCCCTTTGCCCCCACACAGTGGTAGCTGTCGTCACTGTAATTTCTGTAGGTTAGGGAAGTGAGTGTTTGCAGTGTCAGACACTAATTCCAGCTGGTTCTACCTTCTGCACCCTAGAGGAACTGACCTGCTGTAGTCCTGAGGATCTCCACAAAGAGAAGAAGCCAAAAAAGGATTGTGTTTCCAAGAAGTTTGAAGATTAGCATTTTAGGTCTTTAGTTTTGGGCTGGAGGTACGCAATTTCATGTGCACTGAAACATCTTGCAGCAGTATTCTTTCAGGTTAAAACTGCCTTTACTGAAAATTGGTAGATTTGATGCATTATGTATTTTTTTAACTGTAGAGAAGAAAATAGCCTTGCTATTGTCAAGATACTCAGCATCCGAGATATCTTGCTTTTTGTGACAGGAATCTTAAGAAGTTTTACAGTTTCTACTAACAGATACTGCTCTTTATCTTGTGCAGTTACACCATTTCTTCTTCTCAAATGATTACAGATCAGTCTTGCCCAAGTTCTTTCCTTCGATCTTTGTACATTATTTTAACATCTCTAAAATTATTCTTTCACACAGTCAGTGTGGTAGACACAGTCAGTGAGGTAGAAGTCTATCTGTCCAGCTAAGTGGCCTGATTTTTAGGTTTGCTGACTGACTGCAACTTGTTGTGGGAATTGTAAATGGTAAGCAGAAAAAGTGACACTCAGTAATGGACTGATTCTTGAAGCTCTTCAGCAAATGCAGCTTGTTTAGGTGTTTTTTGTTATGTTTTTTTAAATTGTGTAGGTATATTAATTAGGATTAATTAATTATTAAAGAAACTCTCAAACCCCAGCAGTTGCATGAGACAGGCAGTTGCATGTCCCAGAACCTCTCTGCTATTGCGTTGAGTAGCCTAATGCATATATATTTGACTGCATGAATGTCTTGTGTTTAGCTGCTCCAGAAAGCTCTACTCCTATTTATCTCTTTTTATGTTATTCCGTACTCTGATTTTTTTTAAACTGTTACTTCTGAAATATATTTGAAAATGAGTATTTTCAGCTTCATGATCTTTAAATAAAATAAAGAATAATGGCGAAAAGCAACACATTTCTACTTAGTAATTAAATTTGCTACCTCAACGTCCAAAATACTTCAATATATGTTTACTAAGTATTGCAATAATTTAGACTGCAAAGGGACAAGAATGTGGCCATATCCTAAACAGCATATTGTATGTTCTTTTGAGGAGGTGAGGAGAAGGTGTCCTTGAACTGTGATTTATTCTTTACTGTTTTTTGATCTTTGAGTTCCTCTTTTGCTTAGTTCTGTTAGTGAAGTTGTCTTCTGAACTTTGTAGCGTATCTTTTAAAAATTGCAGCTGTTGTATATGATAGTATAGAAAAAAACAATGAAAGTTACTAGTGCACTTTGAACTTGTGAATTACTCTGAACAAACAGTGATGTTCTGAAGATACATTTAGCATGTGGGGGGGTGGTGGTAGTTTTAGTGGCATTTCCCTTTATCATGGTAAAAAGTTTACCTTATTATAGAAAGTCACATCAGATGTGAGCATTTTCTAGTGGTTTGAACTTGTGGTAGTTTTGACATTCTGCCAGGATACACAATCCTGAGGAATATTGTATATAAGGAGGTGTGTGTATCGATATACTGATAGCCTGTGGCTGGGACAGCTCAATCATACATACATACTTTTGTGTATCTTACAGATTGGGTGACTCCTTAGTCAGAAATTAGGCAGCAACTTTGTAGGTAGCTGCTGCTTATTAGAAGATTTGAGATTAGAGGGGAAAGTCTAGTGATAAGATATGCATATGTATATTGTTCCTCTAAGGTGATGATGATACACAGGAACTCTGGTAACATCACCATTTAAAATTTGTGTTTCCTTTTACGTAGCCTATTAGTATTCCAAGACTAGCTGAACAAATGTTAGGAATAGTGACCATTGCAGGGAACGATCTATAGTTCTTTGTGAAGGGTTGTATTGTTCCAAATTTAAGAGGCTTAAAAACCTGGCTTTAAACAGAAATTAATCTTTATCTTTTAACTTAAATGTGGATGTGCTGTTGCTTCACCAAAATATACAGGCTTGCTTGTGGACACTTGGAATTTTAGCTTATATAGGGGATTTTCTTGGTTGTTGTTAAACTATTAATTGCAATGAATACTCTCTTCCCCTTCCCCATTGCTTTGACTCATAAGGGAAACATGAAGGCAAGCTGTCTTGACTTGATTACTAATTTAAATACTACTGTTAATAATCCTTACTGTAGCAGATGTGTGCAGCATGTAACTGTTTGCCAAAACCAAACCTATTTTGGAAGTTATTCTAAGACTTTGTTAGCTCAGTTGCCTTTTTTGGGGCATCTTGTGCTTTATCATTGGGCTATAATTCTAATTTTGTATTTATTTTTATGCAAGCAGATATTAACTTTTAATTTTGTTGCTGTCTCAAATCACAGGAAGAAGGCATGGTTGAGATAAATTATTTTCCTCCTGAAGGCTTGATTGACTTAATGTACTTTCCATACTATGGGAAAAGCTTGCATGTAAGTCTGCCTTAATGATGGTCTTCATTTAGTAAGTGTTTAGTTTGTATTTGCATTTACAATTACTAATATCAGATTGATTCTGAAGTTTGAACTTTGTAACGAGGTATTCTTAAGGAATATTACATATGCAGAAATTTCACAGTGCTTTATAAGATTAGAGATATGCTTTAGCAGACATAAGGAAATAAACTGGGCATTGTCCTAATGAAGAAGAGGCTGTACACTAGCAGTATTTAAGGGCATCTCCTGCTTTTTGGTCACTGGTATCTTTTGGAATCTTTTTGAATGCAGGGAAAGGCAGGAAAAGTAAAGTGGTTCTTTGGATTACAGTACAGTTTCTAATCCTGGGGGTTTATGTATAGGATATTAAGTTTATAATTCATTATGGTATTGTTGATTATATTTCTTTGTGGCTCTGCAGCCATGTATTCTATTTGCTCTGTTTTATGAGGAAGCACTTCTGCACGGTAGCAGAATTTTTTTTTTTTTTCAGTTTTCTTATCTTTGTTTTTCTTTGCATACTCCATCTATCCTCATTGTATTCTGACATAAATTTTATTTATCTAATTGAGGAACATTTAAGTTTTAAAAAACCCTGAAGCTCACTGCTTTATGGACACAGAATACATAGAGTTAAAACTCCATTTTCTTTTCAAACTTGAACTTAGTTTTTTCTTTTCTTGCATCAACTTGTAATAGAAACATACAGAAAATGCATAACTTCTATCAAACATTAAATTATGTGGCCTCTTATTGACCAAGTTGGTCTAATAAACATCTCCACTGTTCACCATTAATGATAAAAGTACTTTTTAAACGTAAATCTATTAGATCCATATTATACCACAGTGGTGGTTTGTAATTTCCCGAAAATGATTTTTGTACTAAATTATTCCTTTATCAGTTATTTTTCCAGTGTATGCTATACTTACTTGCAGCAGTTCACATAACATTTTTATATCCTCACGTGGGTTTTACTAATGAGGAAGGAGTTTGGATTACTTCAACATTTGCTTTCATGTTACTTATGGGTAGTTCTGTGTTTTCCATTTCGTTGCCAGACTTTTTGAATTGGTAAGCCATCCATTTTCTTAGACATACAAGACTAGAGAAAGACTGTCAACCTGTGCTTCCAACAGGTAGAGTCAGTATGTACTCTATCTCCTC